TTATGCTAAGTGAAATAAGTCAAGCAGAGAAAGTCAATTATCATATGGTTTCACTTATTTGTGGAACATAAGGAATAGCATGGAGGACACTAGGACAAGGAAGGGAAAATGAGGGAGGGGGGGAATTGGAGGGAGAAATGAACCATGAGAGACTGTGGACTCTGAGAAACAAACAGGGTTTTAGAGAGGAGGTGGGAGGGGGAATTGGTTAGCCCGGTGATGGGTATTAAGGAGGGCACGTACTGCATGGAGCAATGGGTTGTATACAAAAACAATGGAACGTGGATCACCACATCAAGGACTGATGATGTATTGTATGGTGACTAGTGTAACATAATAAAATTAAAAAAAAAAAAAAAGACCACTGTCTAAGTGAGAGAGGGAAAAAAACAAAATGTAAGAAGCAGTGAGATAAGGGTGTATAGACCTGTTCCAGTCATTGTGGGAAAGTTATCTTCTTTAGTTGTCATATGCTTCATTCCTGGAAATCCTCACTTTTGGGTCACCGGTTGGTGTGTAGGTCCAATAAAGTCTTGGTGTTTTCTTTAGATGTGATACATGCATCCAAGAGCCCATGGATGGAATCTGGTAGCACAAAATTGGTTAACTGTATCTGATAGAGGTCTTTCTAATGGTGTTGAAAAGAGTTTTTCTTGAGGTATTTTTTTCTACTAGATGAAGTCCCAGGTTGCAAATTGTGATGTATAAGTTTTTTTTTCTTTTTTAATTTTATTTTATTTGTTGGTCACCCTGCAGTACATCATTGGTTTTTGATGTGGTGTTCCATGATTCATTGTTTGCATATGGCTTTTTTATCTCCCAACAGCATGCTGTGAAATTTGTTCTACCAAAGCATGGTTATTTTTAATAAAAGTAATTAGGCCTTTACAATATTAAAGTGTATCTAATATTAACAAAAAAAGAAAAAGAAAAAGAATTACGTCTTTTCATATGATGATTTTACATATATATTAAAATTTATTAAGATTATTAAAAAATAAACCAAAGTGTGACAATATAATATGTGTATTACACATGTGTGTTGTGTGTGTGAGCTCTGTATTCTTTAATCCTAAAAAGATAAGGATTTGGGTAAATTAAAAATTTAACAGTACAGAGAGAAAGAAATGAGTGGTATTCCCACTTCCTTCCCAGGTCTTTGGTTTGCCCTGAGATGTGATGTGGTTGGGAATAAAGAAAAGAGACAGGACTATGATCTTGCCATTCAGGGTGTACGGTATAATTAAAAAACGAAATTGTCCCAAGTCATATCAGCTGTCAAAGGATTCATTTCTCTGAAATACCTAGATAAAAGGAATTTCACTCCCTGAAAGATTCTATGCAGGCCCAGTTACTGCTTCTCCATATAATTCCTGACACAGTATATTAAAAAAATCAAAGAAAAAGACAGTGAGCCCCAATAATACATTTTATTATTCTAGGATTTTAAGTGTACATTTAAAGGCCTATGGATATTAGCTACATAAAAATTTTATATCTACCAAATAAAAACTGTAAAGGTAAGAAAAAAAATCAACAAGAAAAAAAAAAGAAAATAAAGCTTAAGAAGAAAATACCAAACTTGCTTAAATATATTCAAATCATACAAAAAAAAGAATAGAAAGGTTAAAGCAGTATCACATTTTTGAAAACTGTCAGTTGACATCTGAAGATTTAAAATGAACTATAGTAGATATTCAGAAAGCAAAAACCAAAATGTTAAAAATTAAAAATGAAAATAAAATACCAAACAAAACAATGCTACCACTAACCAAGGCAATTTCACCACCATCAGTAACATTAATGGGAAGTCACTTGCAACTGTCAATGTTAGCTGTTGCTTAATATAATGGTTATCACACTATGTTGTGCTGGATACTTCTCCCAGTGCTTTGGAGTTTCTAAGAGAAGCAAAATGGGCTGGTTCTGAGAGTCTTCCTCTCCTTAGTCAGAGTTAAGTTTCTTCCATTTATTTTATGCTTTAGGATGCTGCTTAAATTGGTCTGAAATAGGAGTCTTCCACACCCTCCCCTACCCAAAATCTTTGAATACCACTACTTCACAATATTATAAAAACAGAACTATTTGGATGAAATAAAAACATGTAATTCTTTGATGAATCAAACAGAAGAAACCATAGTGCGTATTATTAATTTGTTCTTTACTGTTTATCTGCACATCTAAATAGACTTTACATGGGCGCCTGGGTGGCTCAGTCAGCTAAGTGCCTGCCTTCAGTTCAGGGCATGATCCCAGGGTCCTGGGATTGAGTCCCGCATCGGGCTCCCTGCTCAGCGGGGAGTCTGCTTCTCCTTCTCCCTCTGCCCCTCGCCCTACTTGTGCTCTCTCTCTCTCTCTCTCAAATAAATAAATAAAATCTTAAATATAAATAAATAGACTTCACTTACTATTGAAAAAGCACAACTGGAAGGATGTAAAAGACTGTAAACTACTAAAGGACAGACTATATGTACCAGTATCACAGCACCCTCACTACAGTCCAATGATGATCAGGTGTCAATTACATGATACATTTGTTCTCCCTGCATGGATCACAGGAGAGAAATAATAACAAGCATATATAGCATACCTACTCTTTGATGGAGTCTCATTGGATGTACCATTTCAATCATAAAAACTTTTTGTTCTTACTGTGGCATATTTGGAAATGTGTCAGCATGTGTGCCTATGCATCTGTTCAAGCATTAGTGCCTATGAAAGGAACACTTCTCATCTTTGGGATATAAATTCTTTTCAGATTTCCTAATAAGAACATTGTATTTATGTTTTAAAAACATCAAGAGCCTTATTGAGGTCCCACAATAAAAATAGTATGATAAAAGCATTCTTACTTTTAAAAGGATGGGTTATAAAAAAGCAATGATATACAAAAAAGACATAACTCTAAGAAAATCTGCAAATGCTATTTTACTTTCATTGTTACTAAAATTTTCTGAAAGTTATAAAGTTTTTATTTCATTCAGATCACCTGAAGCAGAGCTCTCATAGGTGTAAAGCCTTACAACCAATATAAAAATATTCCATTCATTTTTAAAGTGCTTTGTACTTTAATATAAAGCACACTTTGCACTTTAATATAAAGACTCTTGCTCCAACATCCAAAATCCAGTATCTGATTATATGAATAAGCCATTTTCATAAAACTAAAACTAAGTTTTAAAAAGTAAAGGAAAAAAAATATTCTCAGAGATGAAATTTAGTACTAGAAAATTTGGGCGATTCATACCTCATCAGTGTTATAGATAATCTGGAGTCCTGAAGAAATCATTTCCACAAGGTAAAGGAGATAGAGTGATACTGCATTTATCTAAAAACAAACAACATTAAAAGGTTAAAGGAAATAACAAATAAGAGCTAAAATTATAAGTCATTTGCTCTAACAGTGGCAAATAAAAACTATTGCCTTTCCTATTGTGAAATAAAGGAGCTGAGTATTTAGCTCATCATAAAATCCCAGCTTTGAATATAAAACTCTAAAATCCTCAAACTCACTGTAGTGGTTAATACCTGATTAGGGAAATGGCTGCAAACAGAACTGTCAGCAACTGTTTCTACAACATTTGTTTTCTATGATTTATTTTCAAATTCTGGATCTAAAGTACTCTACTTTGAAGTAGTTTTGCCCCACAGGCAGCTATATAATGTCAATTCATCTCAAATGTATGTAAATGAAAAAGTTATTTGGCAAGTAAGACATTAGGACTTTGCTAGAACACCATAAACAATAGGCAGTGCGTCTTGAAAACAGTATTATTCTCAGAGGATGCAAAATTTATGTAAGCAACTGCAGGGACATATTAATTTTAATCAGTGGTATAGCATATAAAATATATTTATGAACAAATGAGTTTTATAAGCAAATGAGTCATTTTTTTCTTTTAGTTTGTCTATTAAAGATCGACATTATATGATATAAACAAAAAAAAAATGAAGACAATAATGTCCACTTTAACAAAAAAAGATTCTCACAGAAGCCTAAATGGGATGTATAAATTGTGTTAAGTAAATAAGTAGTGAAAGATAAATACTACAACCTAGACAAACCTTGAATATGCTAAATGACTAAAGCCAGTCACAAAAAACCATATACTGTATGATTCCATGTATATGAAATTTACAGAATAGGAATATTCATAAGGATGGCAAGGAGACTGGTGATCGCATAGGGCAGGGGGCTTTCAAGGAGATGGGGAATGACTATTAATGAAGACGGATTTCTTTTTTTTTTTAAGATTTTATTTATTTGACAGAGAGAGAGAGACAGCGAGAGACGGAACACAAGCAGGGGAAGTGGGAGAGGGAAAAGCAGGCTTCCTGCTGAGCAGGGAGCCTGATGCAGGGCTCGATCCCAGGACGCTGGGTTCATGACCCAAGCCGAAGGCAGATGCTTAACCAACTGAGCTACCCAGGCACCCCTGAGCACAGATTTCTTTATGGGGTAATGAAAATGTTCTGAAATTAACTATGATAGTGGTTGCACAACTCTGTGAATATAATAAAAACCACTGAATTATACACTTTCAATAGGGGAACTGTATGTTTTGTTAATTACAGCTCAATAAAGCTGTTACACAAAAAATAAATACACAGGAAGCAGGTTAAAATTTTTCATTTAAGTAGGAAAATGATAATTTAAGATCAACTAGGAAGCACAATGTAATTTTTTCCTGGTGTAATTCTAACCCAGAAGATTATTACCCTCTAATAGCCTTGGTGGCTCATGTCTTTCCTGACTCTCTTCCAATCCTTACTGAGTAACTGACAAAAAGTGGGGGCAGAAAATTATTTGTGTCCCAAGAGGACTTGGACAAAGTGTCCCTGTGCTACCAGGTGTGTTGGATATTTTGCCTAATCATCTTTGCCTTAGATATCTTTGCCACAAGCACTTAACCACAAACATTTTCAGTGTGTACATTTTCTCCACATCACCAACTGGCCATAAGGCAATTTTGTCATAAAAGATAAAAAAAAAAAAAAAAAAAACTGGCTGACAGTTTGATTTGACAGTTTGGATTCATTTCTCCATTAATGTGAAACTCCCACTTTTATATTATGTAACTCTTATATTTTTATAAGTATCTTTTCATAATTCATTCTTTCTATATTATATTAAATCTTACCCCTCATAATGGTCTATACAATGATGCAGATGTTTGAACCCACATTTCCCACAGAACTATGGAGTGTCTATGAACAGATATGTGACAATATGCCAAGAACAAACAAACAAACAACAGTGTAGATGGCATGCACAACGCAATGCAAAGTTCAGTTACAAATATGCATCCTAGTATTTGGAAAGTGATACCCCTCTTAATGAAGGAAGAAATATTAGTGAAAAAAGAAAAAGTGTAATGTCAAATGACGAGACAAATCAACAAGCAAAAAAGAAAAATGTATTACTCTGAACCAAAGACTTTGAAAACAAATGGTTAGGTAAAAACCAAAAAATAAAATCAGTTATTTGCACAATATTGCCATGAATTTACACACACTTTAAATGTATTTAGTGTTCTGTATTTCACAATAAAGTCTTTTTAATTTTGTCATTCATTTTTCATGTTATAATTTATCCTTTTTAATGTCCCTCTTTTATTTTTTGTGATTTTATCTTTCAAAGCAAAACTGCCTTACAGCCAATTAGTTATGCGGTGAAAATACATGCAGTGAAAATTCTTGCAGCAAAGATGCGTACTGCAAAACTACCTAACACTGCCGCCAGGGCCTGGCAGTGCTGGTGGCTCTCTCAGGAAGCAGAGCTGTCTTGGATGCCTCCTGACTTCTCAGCATTCAAAGTCCAGGGGGTGTCAGGGTCTTGTCAACGTCCAAGTGAGCCAGACACAAAGATACAGGATTCTGGTTTTAGGTTTTTTTAGACTGACATAAACTTTTGAGTGACCCTTCTCAGAACATGGTAGAGAAGAGCTTCAAACCATTGCTAGGCTCACCCAAATATTTTCTTACAGCAGTGACACTGGCCTGTCAGAAATGACTTCAAAGAAATGTCACTGCTATGGACAGCCATTTATAGCTACACCTCCAAGAGCCCTCTGCTCTGACTTGAGGGATGCTTCTGTGAGAAAGTATCATTAAGTGGCAAATTGTACAGAAACAGCCAAATAACAGCTCGACCAGCATTTATTTAAAACCTACTATGAGGCAGGCACTAAGCTTAAATTCCAGGATACAAAAATTTAAATAAGCTGTTATCTTCTGAAAACCCTATTTCAAACAGTAAACATATTTCTCAAAGCAAAAGGTACATAAAACCTAATTATGTTATAATTATAAGGAGAAGGGTGAGCAACTACATATTCATATATACTAATTCTCCAAGGAACTGGCTACAAATAAGTGTAAGAGTTTCTGCTGCATAGAAATGGGGATGCTGTACTTTCTATGACTGGAGGAGTCATACTAAAGTAAGACATTTCAGGTCTCTAGAGAGAGAGGGACTATAAAAAGGACATACTCTTATTTTAGTAAAGAATATATGAATAATAAGTATTCTGTCCTAAAGATAGCAGAACCAAATGATGAGCAGGAAGAAAACTCATTAAATAGCATATATAATATCTGTATCCTAAAAACAAGGCAACAGGATGTCCAGCTAAAAGCAATACACGATGTAAGAGAAAAAGAAGTGAAAACAAAACATAAAATCCTACAGTCATTCTTAACCCAGGTATAAAATTTAATATAATATATAGACTCCACAAATGCCTTTTGGAATTACACTTTAATGGTATGTTTATAGCTTTGTTGAAGGTTGATATATCAAAACTGAACTGTCATGTAACAAAAATTTCTGATTTGCAGCTATATCACTGCCAACTGTCTTTTATTCCGTAGTTCCTAAGTGTTGAAATTCTTCTAAATTTGATAGTAAGTACAAGCTTCTTTGAGATAGGAATGATATTATAAACCATCCAGTTGCTCTTTTCTGCTTGCAGATCAAGACCTCTCAGTCTGATTTGCTCAATCACAAGAACTAACTCAGCCCTGGTGGCTACCCTTTCACTTCCTCATTTTAGGGTTGGTTTTCTACTTCTGTTTTGAACAATTTATGAAATCTACTTTATAAAACTTTTAAATAGTCCCAAGTCTTCTATGATACAGAGTATGCACAGAGAAGAAGAAAACTTATAGTATTCTCCTTTTACCTGAAGATGACCATATTCCTCATAGGAGAGAACCTCATCTCCCGTGTGCACATTGAAAACAGAGTGAAGACAGGTTGCTGGGCGTGGGTCCTGCTTAAACTGCTGGACCTAGAATCAAACACAGAATTCAAATAGTACTCCTAACTCACATTACCATCCAACTTTAGAGATTATAAATTATTTTTCTGAAACCTTTAATGAGGAAAGCTCTAGCATCAAGGCAAAGTACAGAGCAAAGCAGATATGTTACTTTTTCTAAAGAAACAAAACACCGACAAAACTCATATAACTACTAACTTAATAGTTAACATGACTGTTGAATATTTAATTGATGTTTCAAAAATAGCAAATCAAGTATAATAGGGAGCTTGTGAATATGGTAGCAACAGCTTTTGCAATTGTTTTATATTCATTTTATTTTAGTGTCAACTAATAGTTTACTCTGTGGAACAGGATTTCAGGGATTACATCCCACTGTACTGCCATTTGGAAATGCTTCCATTGACTCTCAGTGAAAAAGACCTCATTCTAATTCAGTTAAGTGTTCAAAACTTCAATCTCTAAGGATCACAAATTGTAACCTATGTTCCTATCAACGGGTCTTCATTTCCTTTGCCACATATACTCTCCTTACCAAGGCACAAATTCCAAGAGAACATAGGACATACTTGTACTTATTAACTGCATATAAAGTTTAACCATTTTAGAATACTAAGTAAATACTAAGTGATCTAACAAAGTCCAAGGACCAAAAAAAGAAATCCATCTCCTTTTTCAGGGCCTGTTCAATTCAATTTGGTGAATATTTACTGATACCAATCATATGTCAAGTAGTGTACTAGCCCCTGGAAGTATGAGATGAATAAAAACAGAAAATGAATACAATAACACATAGCTATATGTAAATGGAATAATTTTTTTCTTCCTTTGAAAATATATAAGTGATGATAATATCTGCGACATTATGATCTTACATTGTTTCACTTGGCTAATGAAGCACATAGAACCATATTCTTTTCCTCACCTTCAAATTTCTTCTCATCCTTAAAATTCTATCTCCCAAAAACACCTTCTTTTATAAAGTCCTTTCTGAACTATGCCTTAAATTCCTTCCTCTGGAGTCCACATCAGGGTGCTTATCCTTCAATAACTTCTTTTCTTATTAGTTGTCTGTGTCTCTCACTATCTTATAAACTTCTAGAAGTTACACTATCCCAATATGGTAGCCACTAACTACAGACAACTAACTAAATTACAATTAAACAAAGTTCAGAAATTGACTATATATCAAATACTCAGTAGCCATATGTGACTAGTGGCTTCTGCATTGTTCAACACATTAATGCAGAACATTTCCATCATCACAGAAAGTTCACTGGACAGTGCTATGCTAGAGGGCTAATACACCTTTGCACCCCTCCCCACCCCCAAGGGGCCTGCAAATACCCCACAAACAAATACATAGCCCTTCCTATCATTCAAGTCAACAAAATGAAAGCTAGGCCCTACCAGTAGATAATCAGAAATGAGAGGATAAGGATCAAGGTAGGGATGTATATCTTCTATGTATACAGTGACCAAGCCATCGAGTATTAACTCAGAGAAGGTGAGAAGGTTATTCCTTCTCAATATCTGAAACTGCAGCCATAGTCTTAGACGACACAACTAGAAATCAATGTGGTCACTCCTTTCACACTATTATCTCAAGGTGTTGTCTGGGCTCTGAGACAAAAATATGGTTAAGTTAATATACATTCTGCCTATTTGATAAAGATCTAAAAGGATAAGGTTTTATCAGTTTAATAAAGTTATTGCTACAGTTGACAATGCAGTGTTTGTCATTTGTCTTCAAGACACACAAGTACCCAGCATGAGAATTTATATTCAATCGTGCCAGGGGAAAAGCAACTATTAAATGATTAAAGATACTCAAATGGGAAATTATGTAACTATGCTTTGAGTCTTATAGCTGTTCAAAGACAAATAATATAAAATTTCAGAAAAAAATAAGACCCAAACTATAGAAGTTTTAAAAATTAATGGGGTATATTGTATGTGAATTATAGACAACCACTACTCTTGAAATCAGTCAAATATAAGGGGACATCAATCAGTATTTTATATGTCTGGCATCTGGCAAATAAAAATAATGATTAAAGCAAAATTTTCTAGACCAAAAAAAAAAAATCTAGGATAATGTTTTCTCTGCTTGCATTTTATTTAGATTTTTTCCTGGAAACTTAAATTATTATGAATAAACAGCTTATCATTTAGGAAAAGGTGAGAATTTTATCATCCATTCTTAATTTATAACCTAACATAACATTTAGGTATGAAAAATCATCTCATAAGGGAATGCTGGAAGAATAAATTTTATAAAATTTTAATGATTTATCATGAACTAGAAACTACTCAGTAACATTTTAGATGAATAAATTTTTTATGTAGATAGCTAGGGACAGCAACATTCATAGTCCATTATAAAGGAAATCTGTGCCTTCCAAACTACTAAATGCACATTAAATTTATTTTGAAAAATTCTGAATGCTTCTCCTTAGGGAGTATTAGAAAATAGAGTTAATGAGAGAATAGGTATATGAATATTTAGAGGTAAAAAAAAAAAAAAAACACCCTAATATGAATAAGTGGCAAGACAATAATAGAAATCAGATTGCTCTACACTCTGCTAATCAAGGATAACTCTATCCACTCAAATGTATAATGAATTAAAATATCTCTTTTATAAAGTATTTTCAAAAAAATATGTCAAGAAGCATGTCATGATTTTACTTCAGAAGACAAAGAAGATGAACCTTAGGGTCAAACAGCAAATGATTACTACAAATATGCTTCACTTTAGTTTTAAGAAAAGGGCAAAAGATATATATTTCATATTTTAAAATACGGTAACATTCCCTACTGCTGTAGAATCATGAAGGAAATTGTGAGCATCAACGAGGTGAAGGTTTGGTAGGAGGCAGTGAGCTGGATGTGTGTGGTTAAATCTAATCTCAGAGTCCTTCCCTCAAAGTCATATGTGAATTATAATATCCTCCATTCCTACTCTAGAAAGTTATGGGGATCAAGAAAGATTACAGGGGTGCCTGGGTGGCTCAGTCAGTTAAGTGTCCTACTCTTGATTTCAGCTCAGGTCATGATCTCAGGGTTGTGAGATCAAACTCCGTGTCAGGCTCCAAGCTAGGCAGCCCTGCTTAAGATTCTCTCTCTTCTCCCTCCCTCTGAACTCCCCACCAAATCACACACATGTGCATGCGTAACATAACAACAACAACAACAAAAAAGATCACAATAAAAACTGCTTTAAAATCTGTAAAACCCTATAATTTGTGGTATGCATAAATAGCTAATCCTAATATAATCCATACCTTCTTACAACTCACTTATTTTAATTGTCTAGCCTCATAACTACATAAAGGAAAGAAATGCTAATCCTTTATAATTTAAGAAATTCAAGATATCTTAAGTCCCATTCAAGATGTATTCAAAGAAAACATAATTGTGAAGAATGGCCAGAGAAAGACAAATACCATATGATCTCACTCATATGTGGAATTTAAGAAAAAAAAAAAACAAAAAAAAAACAGATGAGCATATGGAAAGGGGAAAAAGAAAAAAAGGAGAAAGGGAAACAAGCCATAAGTGACTCTTCATGACAAAGAACAAACTGAGGGTTTATGGAGGGAGGTGGGGGATGGGCTAGATGGGTGATGGGTATTAAGGAGGGCACATGTTGTGATGAGCACTGGGTGTTGTATGTAAGTGATGAATCACTGAATTCTACTCCAGAAACCAATATGGCACTGTATGTTAACTAACAAAATTTAAATTAAAAAAAAAAATTGTTAAGACTGGTTAGTAAGGTTGAGTGATTATTTAGAAAGGGATACTAACAATTGGTTAAATAAGCCACAAGGAACTTTTTGTATCATCATTTCCTTCCTTTTAATAAACAATTTTACTAATTTAAGTCTGTCAGCTTATTTAGTAAACATGAATTCATGGCTCTCACAATGCTTAAGAGAAAAGTTAATTGACAGACATTAGGCATTCATGAAATAATAAATGTGAAATAAACAGTAAACTTCTCACAGTAAAATTCTCAGGAAAAAAAAATTTAATCACAATTACTTCAAATACATGACATACTAGTTTAATTCAAGTATACCAAAATGACATTATTTCAACAAATGAAAAACCTATAGAATAATAATAAAATTATAAAATAACCTTTATAATTTGCAAATAATGATTTGCAAAGTCAAATCTCAGCAGGCATCTATAAGTTTGTGACATTTCTGGTGAACAAATCTACTTTTTCTGTCAAGTAACCCTTTCTTGTTGCCACATTCTAAGGGCAAAATATAATTTTTTTTTTTTAGCTTTGACTTCAGATACAGATCTTAAGAAGAAAATGTATGATCACAAAAATTTAATGTAATAATCACAAGATAAAAACATACAAAATATTAAGTGATCAAAACTGCATGCATAATTACTGATTTGCATGTTTGCTCATGAATCATCAAACATGGGGGTGCTCTTGGGGACCTATGATACACTCACTGATGTATATGGACACAATATATTAGGACCTGGGGACACAGGGATGTAGTAGGTAAGTTGGAGAAATATCACATTATATTTGCATAGAGTTTTACAGTTTTCATTATGTATATTATTTTAATAAAATACATAATAATTGCTGATTATTATGTATATTATTTTAATTTCCACAATAACCCTGTAAAATACGCTATTTTCTAAGCCAGTAATTCCTGTCCTTTCTACATGTAAATGATGAAGTAATTTTAAGCTGAAGTTCAGGGACGCCTGGGTGGCTCAGTTAGTTAAGCAGCTGCCTTTGGCTCAGGTCATGATCCCAGGGTCTGGGGATCCAGTCCTGTATCTGGCTCCTTGCTCGGTGGGGAGCCTGCTTCTCCCTCTGCCTGCCATTCCCCCTGCTTGTGAGCAAGCATGCTTGCTCTCTCTCTCTGACAAATAAAATCTAAAAGATAAATAAAAAATAAATAAAAATAAACTGAAGTTCACTTAAGTCAGGGCAATCACATATGCAAAAGGAATTTTGATAAGGATTTTCTTAAACAATGTAATATTCATTAGAATTAGGGATATTGTAAGGTTCCTGAGAAACTGAGTCTTTATCAAGCAAACACCAGATGCAAAATTCAAGCCTAAATAACAATTCTCAATCACCTCTCGCTTAAGGTGTTTCTTCAATTTCAGTATTTCAAACCCTGACCTGGTAAGGTAGAGGCTGTTTTAACCTATCTAGACAGCCCTAGGATGTGGCTTTACCTTTTGAAAGTACATTCTTCTTCAGAAGATGCTATTGCTATACTGGTTAAATTAATCCTTCAGAATGATGTGAGAATTCCAGTCCACACTACAGTGTTTTACCTTATCGGCCTGACGCATATAGCAGTAGAGAATTCCTCTCATACATTTTATAGCGGAGTGCTCCAGCTCATGGGTCCTTCCCTTGTCATCATCAATGCGCCTGGGTGAGAGAGATAACTCATGAAACAAATTGGAAATGCATTTGAAAAGGAAGCAGAGCTTTCGGTAATTAAGTATTTAACTATCTGACTAATCCTATGTTCTGGTGACATCTACTAATTCTGTAACAGTGAAACTCCATTTTCCCAGCAGATGCAGAAATGCTGCAATAAAAAAAAAATCCTATGATGAAACTTGTGTTGCTTTCTCCTTCTTTTAAGGAAGTAAGCCAATTGCTTCAGAAATAGCATACAATATTTCTACATTGACTTGGCTGAAACTTAAAGGATATCCTATATTGGAAAAATCTACCAAAAGATTTTTTAATTTGCTGTTACAGAGTAGAGGCAATTTTTAGTATCAATCCCTTTAGGTTATGCAATGCCCACTTGGATTCGAGGCAACACAGATTAAGGTAGGCACATGCTTTCTTTGCTCTACCATGTGATTAATAATGTCAGGGTGGGCACTTTAGTTAAGGATGTCTTCAAATAAACACACATCCAGTATGACACATGATGTATTTGGGCACAGTTTTATACTCTTGGGTCTTAGTTTAAAATCAATCAAAGATTGTTTATATTGTTTGCTTTTAAAAAGAAAAAAACAGCTAAAATCTAACTATTAAGCGAGGTTTAGATGTTCTTCTGTCCTTAAGTTCATTTTTCACCACGGATCAAAAAGTAATGAGAGTAACCCACTACTGCAATTGAAAGTAACTTATTCATTGTTTCACTAAATCTTAATGGAAATATCTGGCAATCATCCACACTTGATAAAAAGCGTCACCTGTCACCTTAAAAAGTATACTATAATTAACTCCTCTTCCAACTGCAGACCAGTACTAGAAGGAATAATGATCATTTTAACATAGCACTGTCAATGTCAGACAAAAGCAAGTTGTCATTAGAACATTATTCCTCCCTTCATATGCAGGCACTACACTACAACTACCAATATTTTGCTCTATGCTGTATTTTTTTGTCTGATGAGCTGCACAAGTGTTTTAATAGAGGCAAATTATGACATAGGTAACAGTGGACCAGGCATTGATACATGAAGGAAACAGCACACTTTGGGTAGAATGAGCTCAATGAAATCTGATTCCAAATCCTACCTCATCTAAAAACAAAAACAAAAACAAAACAATCAAATTTTTCCAAAACTGTCTTTAAAATAATTCTGTGCCCTAATTTCAACAAGCATTTAACCAAACAAAAATATTCCAGAATAAATCACCCACTATAAAGAGTTCTTCTATTGTATGAAGTTCTCCTATTTCTCCGTTCTTCTACAAATAAAATAGAAACCAGAAGAATATTTCTCTTCTGAGAAAGTAAAAGAGTTGCATGTGAGTAAAAACATTTAGGCCACCAATCTATATATATTACCTTTTCAAAGATGTAAAGTGAATCTGATGACCCAAAATAATTCCTCTATTTTCCACCAGGATCTGGCAATATTCTACTCTCTTTTAACAATCTCTGTGGATGTCAACGCAAGTTTTAATATGATCTGAAGAATACTTTTAACTTTAAAAAAATGAATAAATGAAAGAACTTTAAATTTAATCTGTGAATTTATTGATCACAAGTTATGTGTGAGTGTTGATCAGATATTTCTACAATATGAAGTCTTGCTATTATATCTAAACTACAATTTTATACTTATAAATACAAACCAGTGAAGAAACCAGACACTTGAATCCTAACATTAGTGCATTATTTCCCTATAAACAAGCTTAAATGAAAATAAAATCAATATTGTATGGTAGAAATAGTCATGAGACCTGATTGTTTACCAAAACTAGCTAGGGCCACCTATTATACTCAACTCCTAAAACAGCTGTAAATCTGACACTAGAAGGAAATAGGCTGATTTCCTACTCTCTCTCCCTTGGACAGTGCTACAAAGATATCTCCTCAATGTCTGCTGTTCATTCTCATTTTTCCAAGATATATATATATATATATGTATTTAGACAGTCGACACAAACTCTTTCAAGTCAATACTCTTTTCAAAAAATCACTCTTCTCAAATATAAAAAGTAAAGAAAACTAAATTCCATATTTGAACCCTAATTTAAAGTCATATTTTTTCTAGAAATTATATTAGAAACAAAAAATAAAAAAAACACTACATAATACCTTTTAATATAGCATAAAGTATAAAACTGAAATTCATTTAACAGATTTTGTGTAACTGAATATGTTCAGAAGCAGTTTTAAACTGAACTATGTAAACAAAAATATAAATATATATAATGAAACTAATTATAACAATAAAATATAAATATGTATAATTATATTAATTACAATAAATATATAGTTATATAATTTAATATAGTTATAATTTTAAATAGTGGTACATTGGGAACTGCAACATGATATATAAATATTTTATTATTTTTTTAATTTTTTAAATTAATAAATTAATTTTGAGAGACAGCAAGAGCATGAGTGGGAGGGGCAAAAGGAGAGGGAGAGAGAATCCCAAGCAGACTCGACACCGAGTGCAGAGCCGGATACAGGGCTCAATCCCAGGACCCTGTGATTACGACCAAAGCCAAAACCAAGAGTCAGGCACTTAACCGACTGCACCACCCAGGCGCCCCTATAAATGACATTTTAAAAAGTCAAACACATTAGTCAGTTTTTCTTCCCTCCTTGAAAATAAAACAAAATTATAAAGTAGAACTGAAATATTATATCCAAAAAACTATTTCAGGGTCCTGGGATCAAGCCCCGCATTGGGCTCCCTGCTCAGCCAGGAGCCTCCTTCTCCCTCTCCCCCTGCTTGTGTTCCCTCTCTCGCTGTGTTTCTGTCAAATAGATAAATAAAATCTTTAAAAAAAAAAAACTATTTCGAAGCATATTTTTGCAAAGAAATAACCTCATTGTCTCTAATACTAAAATACTGACTATCTAATTAATTAAATAACACCAAATTATACTCTTACATGTGTATAAAGTATAAATGTGCATAAAATCTTTTTAAGCCCTCAGTACACACATACACAAATCCAAACATGTGAGGTTTCATGAAATTGTTAATAAGACTGAAACCAATGCAATGAGAAAAATCAAATTACTCACAATTTCTAAAAATTAATAACTTTATACTATGCATTCATTAACAAAAAGAGATACATGTAAGTTTCTGAAGATAAAACATTGACAGCTTAATTTTTCAGGAATTCTCCCTAATGTAACCTGTATGACTTCATTGCCATTAACAAGTAGAATTAGAAACAAAATTTCTATTAATTTTACATGGAAATTCTCTAAACAAATCCTCACGACTTAATATTGCAAAAGTAAGAAGGGCTTTAATAATTCTGTGATAAATACGCATGCATTTCTCCAAAAGAGAAACAATTCACTTGCTAGTAATTCAAAAAATGTAATGCTTTATATGCATAAGAAGATAAATTATCCAGGGAGTTAGTACATACACAGTATGCCTACAAAGAAAGGACCTGAAATTCTCTATCAAATGTTTGAAGCTTTCTAGGAAAAGGCCTATCTACTTATATTTTTTAAAGCAAAATTCCCCCAAAATTTTATTTAGAAAAATTTCAGGTCTATAGAAAAACTAAAAGGATGTTACAATGAATAAACATTTTAACCTTCATCTGGATTCCCCAGTTACTAAAATTAGCTTGCATTCTCCATAATTTATTTTCTGTACTTTTTGAAAGGAAACTACAAAAATCATCACCCTTATACATTTCAAAAATATGTCTTAAAAACAAGGACATTCCCCTATACAACAATGTTATTATTACACCCAAAGAATTTAATATTGATACTAAATAATCTAATATATACACTATAACAAATTTATCCAATTATACTCAAAATATACCTTTTAGGATTTATTTTTAATGTATGATCCAATCAAGGATTGGATTTGAGTATCGTTTATTTTTTGTTGACTAATTTAATATTTTATTTCTTTTTTCTTTTTTTAAATGAAGTATAACTAACATACAGTGTTACATTAGTTTCAGGTGTACAATATAATGATTCAACAACAAATGTTACTCAGTGATCATCAAGATAATGTACTCTTGGTCTCCTTTATCTATTCCACCCATCTGACAACCACAAGTTTGTTATCTGCATTTAAAAGTATGTCTCTTCTGGGGCGCCTGGGAGGCTCAGTTCGTTAAGCAACTGCCTTCGGCTCAGGACAAGCTGGGATAGAGCTCCACATCAGGCTCCTTGCTCAGCGGGGAGCCTGCTTCCCCCTCTCCCTCTACCTGCTACTTTGCCTGCTTGTGCTCTAGCTCTCTCTCTGTCAAATAAATTAAAAAAAAAAAAAGTAAGTTTTCTGTTTGCCTCTTTCTTTGTTCATTTGTTTTGTTTCTTAAATACCACATGAGTAAAAGTCATATGGAATTTGTCTTTCTCTGACTTATTTTACTTTGCATTATACTCTCCATATCCCTCCATGTTGTTGTAAATAGCAAAATTTCATTCTTTTTTACGGCTGAGTAATATTCCAGTGTGTGAGTGTGTGTGTGTGTCTCACACACATATACATCTTTATCCATTCCTCAATCAGTAGACACTTGGAACATTTCTAGGTACGGAAACAATGGTATTGTATCTATGGCGTGGCCAGTGTTACAGTAAACATTGGAGTGCATCTATCTTGCTGAATTAGTGTAGTCATTTTCTTTGGCTAAATACCAAGTAGAGGAATTACTGAATGATATGGTAATTCTATTTCACATTTTTGAGGAACCTCCATAATGTTTTTCACAGTGGCTGCACCAATTTGCATTCCCACCAACAGTAAAAGGGTTCTTTTGTCTCCACATCCTAACACTTATACTTTCTTGTTTTTTATTTTAGCCATTTTGAGAGGTGTAAAGTGATATCTCATTGTGGTTTTAATTTGCATTTCCCTGATGATTAGTGATGATGACCTTCTTTTCATGTGTCTGTTGGCCATGCGTATGTCTTCATTGAAAAAGTCCATTCTGGACTTGTG